TCCGCAACAAACGCCGCCGAAAGGGAGGGAACCTGCACATGGAGCTGAATAACACCCACATCGCGGGGAAGGGCAGGGGCAAACAAGCACTCATTCAGGTACTCAAGTTCGCCCCCCAGGAAAACCTGAAGCACCGTGGAAGCTTCCCGCCACTCCAGCGTGCGGGAACGACAGAAGGAATGCCAGGAATCCAGACCAAACAAGGGGCAGTCTGCTAGCCAGGACGACTCCGGAACCTCGTAACGGAGCCAGAAAGGGAACGAAGTCCCAAACCTGAACGTGGACGGATCCATTTCCGAGGCATAATCCGGGTCACGCAGGAGGTAAGCTGCAAAGGCCGCTCGCACCACACCAGGTTGGATGCGATAAGCCGAAAACCTCCGGAAGGACGGAACCGACATACCCGGGGGAACACGGAACCGAATTCGGAGAGGGGCCGACACCAAATCCAACTCGTACGCAGAGGAGGGAAAAGAAAACCCCACCCCTTGTAACAATAAGCCTCGCTCAGAGGGAAGAAAACCCAGGCGGGGTCCAGCGGGGCCCAAGGCCCCCAAGTCAGCCCCTCCCCAGCCTCGAGGTCCTTCACCACAGGACCCGAGGCCGAGTCCTCTCCCCAAGCCCCGACCCCACAAGACAAGGACGGAGCAGCCGGAAAAGCTGGAGGAAGGGGGGCCCACTGGTCAGACCCTGAAGCTTCGGCCGGGAGACAAGACTCGAATGCCTCTGCCGCCCCCCCGGAAGGGGCACCCCCCGAAGCTGCCCGAGTCTCGAGATCAAGTAACCCCTGCTCCGACCCCGAAACCCTCAGACGCTTCGGGGCTGGAAGCAGGGGGGGAGGGGGACCAGAACGAACAGAAGGGGAAGGACGAGGAGGTGCGGACTGAACCAGGATCGAAGCGACGCCCACCCCCAAGTCCGGGTCTCGAAAAGCAAAGCGGGGCAGCCCCGGGGCATCCGGGCGAGCAACCAACCGAGCGCGTTGCAACAGACGAAACCTAGACTGCAACGCACGTGCCGCCTGTACCCGAATAGAATCATCAGAGGATTGGGTAAATTGAGTCACAAGCAAGCAGCAACACTCACAGGACTCAGGGTCGAAAGTATCACCGACCCAACAGGCAGCGTGGCAGAGGCAAAAACAATGAGGGTCACCCTGAGACAAGGGTGACCGAGCAACCCTCAAACTCGCACACAGCGAGTGGGGACTCCGGGGTCACATCCATCGGACCCACGCGCCCCCTAGGGGATTCCCAGGGTCCTGAGCGTTTACTTTAAGAGGACTCGTGCTCAGGTAGTCCCAGGCAGCGTGCTGCAAACTGGCACCCAAAACTACCAAGCAAACTTCTATAGCTGAACCCCAGGGATGTGTACACTCACGGGGACCTAGCAGGGGGCGCCACCGAGGAGAACAGTGGAAGGGCAAAAACAAACTGAATAAAATGACAGAACCCCCCACCAGGCAAAAACAAACAGAAAAACAAAACCCCCCAAGAGGACAGCGAACCCCAAGGAACAGAGCCGGCTGCGATGTCGGGAAATACAAGCTGAGCAGCACCCTGCGCCCCTACCAGTGCAAACTGCCTCTTACCTGCCGGTAACAAGGGAGAACAGAACACCCAAGAGCCCAACAGGCGGCCGAAAAACCGAAAGGTAAAACGGACCAGCAGAGGCAGACCCAGAGGAGCCTGTGGAAGGTGGCCCCAAGCCCCAAGGGCAGTACTTACAGGGCACCTAGGGAAGGCAGCCCTAGGCCCATGCAGCCCGAGTACTGAAGATAACTCCTGGCTCTCGCACCCACAAAACCAACACCACACGCAAAGCACAGTGCAGTAGCGACACCGGAGCCAGAGCACACGACCATCGCCTATAGCATCAGCCTCAAGAACTGAGGTGTGGGTAGCCGGCGCGGGGGGTCTGGGGCTCCCCCTTCCCCCTCCCGGGGAGGGGGGAGCTGCGCAGACAGCGGCGCGGCGGTGTGTGACGTCACACTAGTTTGCTTGTTTTCGGTTGGGGAGTTCTATCCACTAGTTCGGTTTTTGGTAGCAATTTTAACCAGAATAGGGGTTTGTTTTGAGGCGCTTACCTTTCTGGGTGCCTGTTTCGGTCGATGGCAGACATAGAATGCTTCCTACCACACGGGGGCTTCTATAGGCCATTGCTCCCCTTGCCTCTCTGAGGGGGCCCGGTTCTGGCCGTGGTCCCCGGTAGGCCTAAGAACTCCATACACATGACTGATGTCAAAGTCTGACATTAGCATATCAGCCTGGGATAGCTCCGGGGAGCCGACGGGGCTCCCCCCAGAAAGGACGTGGAACACCAGCACTTGTGTACACTACCCATAAGAAAACAAACTCCCACGGAGCATGCGCAGGACACATGAGGTCCAAACCGCACAACCCGCTCGGCGGGAAGGCTCCAACTAGGAATATTTAAAGAAAATAAGCAATGCCGAGACAGAGCACAGAGAGAAGATACAATTACAAAAGAACAAGACAGGATTGAAAACCAACAAGAAGCACAGAAGAGGACCAATGAGCCCCAGAAAGAACTAGAGGTAAGCCTCACTGGAAGACGACAGACGTTCCAATAATATGGGAAGAAGTGAAAACCTTCCCGAACCTTCAAGAACTCACAGAAGCAAGCACAAATCATTACACACAGAAATCACAATAGCGTGATGCATCAAATGAACAAATCCACAAGGGCAGTGACGAGGGTTTGAACCTACGTCAGAGGATCCCAGACGCTGCCTTAATCAACTGATCTACGAAGTGGAAAGAATTGCTACGAGGAAATCATCCTGATTTACCAACGGATTCTGCAGCTCTCCGAGACACAAAGCAGGGTTTATGAAATTCCCCATGCACCCGACCTGTGTCAATAGGCTGTTCTACCTCTTCACTCTTGTGGATTTGTTCATTTGATGCATCACGCTATTGTGATTTCTATGTGTAATGAAGTAAGGGCGAAGAGGTAGAACAGCCTATTGACATAGCTCGGGTGTATGGGGAATTGCATAAAACCCTGGTTTGTCTTGGAGAGACTGCAGGATCCATTGGTAAATCAGGATGATTTCCTGGTTGCAATTCTTTCCATGCCATAGACAGGGGAAAGACAAGGGGGCACAGATGGAAACAAAACCGAAGCAAGCAACACCCCAAACCCCATCATAACAACTAAAACGGGACAGCCTCGGGGCTTCCGGGAAGCAAACAATCTAGCGCGTTGCCCCCACCTGAACTCAATGTGCAATGCCCGTGCTGCCTGCACCTGCATAGTCAGCATAAGACTGGGCAACAGAGTTACAAACAAGCAACAAAACTCACAGGACTCCAGGCTGAAGGTGCCACTGACCCCAAAAGGCAGCAGACAGGCAAAAACAGGGAGATTCACCTTGAGACAAGGGAACAGAGCAACCCTCGAACTTGCACAAAGTGAGGGGGGACTTCGGGGTCACATCCATTGGACCCATGCGCCCCCGTGAAGATTCCCAGGGTCCTGAGATGGAACTCACGCTCAGGGAAACCCAGGCAGGTTTACCCTGCACCCCTACACACAAAGGACCTCTTAGTTGCTTCCAGGCCCTCTTTTATTTTTTTTACTTTACACAGAACAGGAACAGGTGACTTCTGCCTCCTATAGATTTATTGATTTCTATAGATTTATAGATTTCCCTTCTCATATGTCATATCTTACCCATTAGTTTTCCCTAGAATATCACCTCCCAATCAGTTAACCAGATATGCAATTATTGCTGAGTTAACAAGGACAAACAGCTAAGGATAGAGCTTCAGTCTCACACACATGGGGTCCATGGTTTGAGTCTCCTAGAGTCCAGGTGAATGGAAAGCTAAGGATAGGTGCCCAGTCAATCCTTCCTGGCCAGGACTCGAGCTGAAACCAAATAGCTTGTGACGTGCAGGGCTGATCCCTCAGTGGCTTCTGGGGTCTTCCTTTTGTCCTTATTTACTTTGTAATTACCTGTACATAAGTATGTAAATGAGAATTTACATACAATATTTTTGTACCTTTGTTTTCTTTACAGGAATCTATGGCCTCTTATTATCAATGTTGTAAAAATAAAAAATATCCCTTATAAATTTTGTGTATTCCTGTCAATTTTATATGTGGTGATTATATCTTTTATACATCAGTGTATATGTTTTGACATACTTAATGCCTCCAGACTCTCCTCTTAGCTGCTGAGGTTTAGGTCTGGGAGCCATTTAGTAGCATGCCTTTGCACCTTTTATAATTTATTGAAATGTTTTTTGAGATACTGTATTTTTATGACTTCTATGAAATGTTCACCAGCATGACTACTGCAAAACAGACATATGTCACAGACTATATCAACTGTCACTTAAATGTGCATCGGTCTCTTGCTGACCAGCCAGAATTATCAAGAGATAATGAGGATAAAAAAAAGTGTTGCCACCTGGTGGGAAAAGGTAAGTGACCGGTAGTGTTATACTCTGTATGAGATTTTGCCAGAGTACCGAGGTCTACTCCTTCTGATGGCCATTCAGGGCTGGACTGATAATTCCTTTCAAAAATTCCCTTATGCCTAGGAAATTAAAATATTGTATTGACCCTTACTGGAGATAGCTCCGACTCTGAGGAAGTGGGACTTGCCTAAGAAAGTGACTGAGAGACCAGCTCCAAAAGAAGCATTTCATCTAAAACTCATTGCCTTATATTTATCTGTAAGAATATTAAGTGAATGAATTAATTCAATTGTTGAAAATGTTGAAGTAAGATCTGTAGTTGACTTTAAAATGAACGGGGAAAACCTAAGCAGACAAAATTCTGTAAGGAAGTCCTACATCAAGCTTTCATTCCTTAGGAGTCACCAGGTATAACACATGATGAAGTAAATAATCCCTAAAATATTGACTACGCAATTATAATGCACATTAATTTTATTTCTTTATCTAGAATTTTATGATTTTCAATTTGTTCACAACAAAATAAATATGAACCCTTAACAAACTTACCAGTAATTTTTAATTGCAAAGTCTTTGTAGCAGGTCTACCAACACCGTTAGAAGCTTCACAGGTATAATTGCCCGCATCACCTTGCTCAGTATTGACAATCTGCAGTGACCCATCTGAAAGCACCCTGGTTCTACTAGAACCACCTTCGCTGTCAGTCTGAAAATATTTTTAATTATATTATATAACTTACCAGTGATAAGAAATCTTTATCTTATTGAAACCAATATACTGCTTTCAGATTACTGTACAGAACTGGCATTAGAGCGAGTGAGCAGTACATTGCACACAGCTTTACTGAACTTGATTGCGAATGCAGAATATTTTTCCCATTCTTCCTTAAAATTTTGTATTTCTGTTTCTTACAGTCTATTAATCCCATTTTCTGCTATGAAGTTTATGTTTTGTTAACATTTAATTTGTAACTACAGTATTTCAATATAATTCATACTTAGGAATAATAAACAGCCAGGTTTTGATTAGTGTCATTATTCCAGGTAGCCTAGCCTAGGCTACCTCCTGTATGAGAGTTATTCCTGTCCGATGTCTGTAATTTTGGTGTTTATTCATTTGTGCCTGTGTGTTTTAATCAGACAGAAATAGGTAGGTTAAGTATGAATGTGTTTTATAATGTTAATAAATAAATAAATAATAAAATAAATATGTTTATTCAGGTAAGGTACATACATACATATAAGTGATGTTACATTAATGGATTGATATATAGATAGAGCTAGTACATACAATGCCTAAAGCCACTATTACGCAATGCGTTTCGGGCAATAATGTGGGACTTATGTGGTGAGGAAGTCTCTGGAAGTTGAGGGCTCTTTCCTGCCAAGATGTGGGGTTTCCCAAAGATTCTGTGTGCTAGAGGCTCCAGTTGCTATGGTGCTGAAATGATGCAGCCTGTGAGAACCAATCAGAGCAAAGCAAGATGATGATGTCACACAAAAAAAGTGCAAGGATTTGCCAAGACAGGTCACACTTTATGCCTGAGACCCCAAGAGGACGCACATCTGTCAAATGTCACTCATTGTTTGACAGATATCGTCAAATGATGCTTGTGAGTGAGGCCAACACTAAAGAAGTTAAAGATGGTATCCAGTGGCCAGTGAGAGCCCAGGAGCTGTCCTCTTTGCAAGCGCATTCATCAAGTTGGTGCAATAGAAAGCAAGAGAGTGGCAAGCCATCAGGTGAACCCAATGGCAACCCAATGAGAGAGGTATTTGTTGCCAGGAAGGGCGACCCTGCTTCAAGAGTACCAGGCACAGTACCTGAGCTTGTTCACCAAGGTGTTACTGTGTTTCTGAAGAGGTGATAGATACAGCCATTACCAGTTCCACTCTGAAGTAACTCAGGTTTACAGACAATGAATCACAATAATGTGGGTGAAGATATGAAGAGCAAACCACACCAGAAGATGAAGAGATAATGATATTTCTGTCCATCCTGGACAATAATTGGTCCATCCTGGACCATAATCAAGTTGATTGTGGTCCATCCTGGACCATAATCAAGTTGATTGTGGTCCATCCTGGACCATAATCAAGTTGATTGTGGTCCATCCTGGACCATTAACAAGTCGATTGCAGTCTGTCCTGGACTAATATCAAGTCAATTGCATCAAGTGTCAAGTCACAATTGACTTGATAATAATCCAGGATGGACCGAAACATTGTTGTCTCTTCATCTTCTGGTGTGTGGTTTGGTCATCAATTCAGGTTTAACCACTGAACTGCACTGCCCAAAATTACTCACAGCAGGCGTTGTGCAGGCCAAGCAAACCTGATTTTAAGATATCATAGGATTCAAAACATGTGCACGGTAGGTTGGGTACGAATTGGACGCCTAAGGCATCCAGTGAGCGGCAGCCATTTTGAAAAAATCCCAGAAAGACCTAGGGGTGCTGGCTGGCTCGGCCTCTGGCTCCCAATCTCCTGTTGGATGCAGTGTTGAAAGATAACTCTCTGATGGTGAAATTTAAACCTTAGTGCTTGAAGAACATAAAGGTCCTGATATTGATGAAGCTAGGCACAATAAGGACCTAACACAAGTGTCGGATACAAGTGATACAGCATGGATAAGGATGATACAGTGAGCATATCCAGTAGAAGCTGAGTGCTCCCAAGGTGTGCTGTGGCCTCCCAGGCCATGACTATCACCAACTGTGTCATCTCCAATGTTTGAATAAAGTAATACTATGGATGAATCATTTTCTGGATTCAGTGATGCTGCTTCTGACACAAGTAGCATAGATGAACAGAGTGTTAGCAGCTTCCATGGTGAAAGCAACAATGGTGGTGCCAGTACAAGGAGCATGAGTGAATTCACAATGGAGGACTGTGAAAATTTTGTATCACACAAACCACAATTTGATGATTCTGATGTTGGTGTTCACCCACTTTCCCATATACATGTGAAGATATGAGTGAAACCAAGACAGATATGAGATATGAGATACCAGAATAGAATTTTGCCATTAATCTGTTCTTAGATCTTTTCAAGACTATCTTACACATTGATCATTTCCTAGATTTTTCAATCCTACGTTACACTTCACAAGCTTGGCTACATACCACCAACAAGAACTAAAGCCAAGGATGTACATGAGTGCACCCTTGCACAGAGGGGGATACAGTGCACAGAGTATGGTGATGTTTCATCACCATACCCACCAGAACTGCTTATAAGTTTGTTGTGTTGTATATAAATGTTGATAGTGATATTTAAATGTGTGTATATAGTGTAATAATAGCAAGAACACTGTTTGGTCGATACAGGAATATAATATACATGTTACTATATATGAGCACCATACTTTTTAGCACAGCAATGTTCCACACATTCAATTATATAAAGTTAATATGGTTAAAAGCAAAATTGCATACAGTACTTTTGATTAATATTACTGCAAAAAACCAGCGTTGAATGTAATGAAACGCCATTTTCTAAGCGAGACCTGGAGGCTCCTCAGAGCTATCCATGCTGATATATATCATTAGACTTTGGCATCAGTCAATGTAAATGGAGTTCTAGGCCTACTGGGGACCACGAGCCAGATCCTGGCCCCCTCAGAGAGGCATGAGGAGCAATGGCCTATAGAAATGCACATGGGATTAGGAGCATTCTAAGTCTGCCATCGTCAGGGCCAAGCACCCAGAAAGGTAAAAGCCTCAAAAGAAACCCCTATTCTGGTTAAAACAACTAAAGAAGGTAGCGAGTGGACAGAACTCCCCAAGTGAAAATGAGCAAATGAGCATGACGTCACATGTGCAGCGCCGCATATCTGTGCAGCTCGCCCCCCGTTCAAACACCAGGAAGGTGTATGTAACGAAGACAAGGAACGTTGAAACTGGAAGTAGAGATGACGCGAAAACAAAACAAGGCGAAACTGAAGCAAAAGAAGACAGAGGACGGAAGGAAACCAACGAGGCCGATAAAGGACCAGAGGGAAACCACATCGGAAGTCAACAGACGTTCCAATAATAATGGAAGGTACAAAGGGAAGTGAGAACTAACGAGAACCACGACAAACCAGCACAAACGCACGGAGGTACATATGGACAAAAATATACCCCTGATCAAGGGGCACGCAGGGACAGTGATACGAAGGGAGCAGTATCGTGATGTAAGCGCAAAAAGGGTAAGGAAAAGGGGGTGAAACACCCCCAGGAATTACGGGACCGACGAACCTGAAGGGACACTGAACCTAACCCAGGGAGGGGTAGACCCGAAACCAACATGAACACAGAGGGGGAAGGAACAACCCCACTCTGAGGAACTGCCAGTCCCTCACCGAGGGTACAAAGACCCAAGAGGGGCAAACGTGGCTAAAAGCCCCCCAGGCAACCCCTTCCCAATCCCGGGAACCTCTACAGAAAGACCCAGGGCCAAGCCGCACCCCCAAAGCCCCAGCTTAACAAGGAAAAGCCGGGGCAGCCGTACAAACACTAAGGAAGGGAGCCCACTGGTCAGACCCACATGGCATGGCTGGAGGAACCGACTCGAATGCCTCCGCCGCCACCTCGTAAGAGGAAAAACACCCCGAGACCACCCGAGTCTCAACCCAACCAGACCCCGCTCCAACCTCGAAACCCGCCTACAGTTCGGAGCCAGAAGCAAGGGAGGAAGTGTGCAGAACAGAAGGGAAAGTACGAGGGGCGGAAGGAGCCAGAGCCGAAGTGACTCTCCCCCCCCCCCCACAATTCCGAACCCCAACAACCAAAACAGGGCAGCTTCGAGGCATCTGGAGCTGCAAACAACCAAGAGCGCTGCAGCAACTAACAAGCAAGCAACGCCGCAGCCGCCTGCACCTGATTATCATGACCTGAAGCCTGGGTGAACGAGAACACGTACCGACAACACCCGTCACAAGACTCTGGGTTATAAGAAACAATGACCCAACAGGCAGCATGGCGGAGGCACAACCGGTGAGTGTCACCCTGAGACAAGGGGACAGAGCAACCGGTAAACTCGCAAGATGCGAGGGAGGACTCCGGGGACACAGCCATAGGACCATGGAGCCCCTGTGGGGTTTTCCAGGGTCCTTAGCCTTGGGTACACACTAAGGGAAGCCCACGTAGGGTACTGCGAACCTGCGCCCAAGTCTACCAAACAAACTTCTAAAAGCTGAACCCCTGGGATGTGTCCACTCACGGGGGCCAAGCGGGGAGTACCACCAACAGAAAATTTCAAAATAAAAACACCTAGAACAGTAAAGGGGGACCAGAAAAGCAGACCCCCACCAGACGAAAACAAAAACAAAAGAAAAATCCCGCAAAAGGACAACGTACCCAGGTGGAACAGAGACGGCCACTGTTATTGGTAAAAACTAGCTGTGCAGTACCCCGCACCCCTACCAGTGACGAAAACAACCTCCTACTCAGAGACAAACCAGGGCAACAAAACCCCAGCCGACTCCTAGGCTGAAACTAGAAGAAACAAATGCTCCTAGGCTCCTAGAAGAAACAAATGGGCAAAGTTTCTTTCACCCTGAATGCCCCTGTTGCCTAGCAGTAAATAGGTACCTGGGAGTTAGTCAGCTGTCACGGGCTGCTTCCTGGGGGTGGAGGTCTGGTCGAGGACCGGGCCGCGGGGACACTAAAGCCCCGAAATCATCTCAAGATAACTTCTCAAGATAGGGCGGTCCAGTACCGAACAGTAAAGGACACATCGGAGGTATAACCCAAGGTGACTTGTGCAAGGTGGCCCCAAGCCCCAAGGGCAGTATTTTTAGGGCACCTAGGGAAGAGAGCCCTAGGCGCATGCAGCCCGAGTATCGTGGAATCTCACTCCTGGCTCACACCCCACCGGTAGACACAGTCCACACCACAAGGCACAGAACTGAAACAAAAACCGGAGCCAGAGGCACTCAACCAGCCAGTAAATCCATCAGCCAAGAACTGCAAGTTGGATCGCCGGTATGGAGGGTCTGGGGCTCCCCCTTCCCCCTCCCGGGGAGGGGGGTTGTGCAGACGCTGGCGCGGCGACGTGATGACGTCATGTTAGTTTGATAATTTTGTTTGGGGCGTTCTGTCCACTCGTTCGACTTTTGGTAGCAATATTTTCACCAGAATAGGGGTTTGTTTTGGGGCGCCTACCTTTCTGGGTGCCTATCCCGGTCCATGACAGACATAGAATGCTTCCAATCACAAGGGGGGTTTCTATAGACCATTGCTCCTTGTGCAACCTGAGAGAGCCAGGTTCTGGCACGTGGTCCCTGGTAGGCAAGAACTCCTAGCACTTTGATGCCAGAAAGTTATACATATCCATTCAGCCTTGATAGCTCTGGGGAGCTGACGGGGCTTCCCCTAGAAAACTAAATAAATAAATTGAGAAACAATGAAAATAAATCCACGAATTTATTCCTATGCGGCACCTCAACTAAAAATATGCAACTTCTCCAGGCCACTACAGCTAAACCATAAGAGCTGAAGAATTTGTATTTAGATTTTTGTGCTTCCTGAAGGCTAATTAACAGTGTCATAGGAAAAAATTATTTTTTTCAGAACATTTTTTTTTCTTGAGTGCCCTGGGGATGTTGATTTAACAGTTAGCGGTTTAAGGGTTAACTATATAAATTCCACAAATTACACACCTTTGAATAATAATACCGTAAAATATCAGAAGAAACAAATGAGAGAGACATTGAAATAATTTTGAAAAATTATAATCGCAGTAACTGCCGTTAGATTTGGTGGCAGGTCAAGTGTGCCTAGGCGCCTACTCACTCAGCGCCCATAAATTGCTCAACTTCTCAGCTCCATCATAGCTAAAGATCATCATTACATACAATACTTTGGTACCTCCATTTACAAATTTAATCCGTTCCCAGAGACTAGCAGTAACTCGAAAATTCGTAACTCAAAACAAATTTTCCCCATAAGTAATAATGTAAATTGAATTAATCCGTTCCACACACCCAAAAATATTAACTTAAAAATACATATGACAAAGAATACTACTCATATTTTTCATATGCAAAACAATTAGGTATAAATGTAAACCATAATAACATAAGTAAACATTTAACTACACTTTATCTTCTCTGAGGATTCTTGCTGACGTGTAGGAGACGGTGAGGAGGGAAGAGGGGAGGGAGGAGCGGTGTTGGTGTATGGGGAGAGGGAGGAGCGGTGTTGGTGTATGGGGAGAGGGAGGAGCGGTGCTGGTGTATGGGGAGAGGGAGGAGCGGTGTTGGTGTATGGGGAGAGGGAGGAGCGGTGTTGGTGTATGGGGAGAGGGAGGAGCGGTGTTGGTGTATGGGGAGAGGGAGGAGCGGTGTTGGTGTATGGGGAGAGGGAGGAGCGGTGTTGGTGTATGGGGAGAGGGAGGAGCGGTGTTGGTGTATGGGGAGAGGGAGGAGCGGTGTTGGTGTATGGGGAGAGGGAGGAGCGGTGTTGGTGTATGGGGAGAGGGAGGAGCGGTGTTGGTGTATGGGGAGAGGGAGGAGCGGTGTTGGTGTATGGGGAGAGGGAGGAGCGGTGTTGGTGTATGGGGAGAGGGAGGAGCGGTGTTGGTGTATGGGGAGAGGGAGGAGCGGTGTTGGTGTATGGGGAGAGGGAGGAGCGGTGTTGGTGTATGGGGAGAGGGAGGAGCGGTGTTGGTGTATGGGGAGAGGGAGGAGCGGTGTTGGTGTATGGGGAGAGGGAGGAGCGGTGTTGGTGTATGGGGAGAGGGAGGAGCGGTGTTGGTGTATGGGGAGAGGGAGGAGCGGTGTTGGTGTATGGGGAGAGGGAGGAGCGGTGTTGGTGTATGGGGAGAGGGAGGAGCGGTGTTGGTGTATGGGGAGAGGGAGGAGCGGTGTTGGTGTATGGGGAGAGGGAGGAGCGGTGTTGGTGTATGGGGAGAGGGAGGAGCGGTGTTGGTGTATGGGGCGGGAGGAGCGGTGTTGGTGTATGGGGAGAGGGAGGAGCGGTGTTGGTGTATGGGGAGAGGGAGAAGCGGTGTTGGTGTATGGGGAGAGGGAGTAGCGGTGTTGGTGTATGGGGAGAGGGAGGAGCGGTGTTGGTGTATGGGGAGAGGGAGGAGCGGTGTTGGTGTATGGGGAGAGGGAGGAGCGGTGTTGGTGTATGGGGAGAGGGAGGAGCGGTGTTGGTGTATGGGGAGAGGGAGGAGCGGTGTTGGTGTATGGGGAGAGGGAGGAGCGGTGTTGGTGTATGGGGAGAGGGAGGAGCGGTGTTGGTGTATGGGGAGAGGGAGGAGCGGTGTTGGTGTATGGGGAGAGGGAGGAGCGGTGTTGGTGTATGGGGAGAGGGAGGAGCGGTGTTGGTGTATGGGGAGAGGGAGGAGCGGTGTTGGTGTATGGGGAGAGGGAGGAGCGGTGTTGGTGTATGGGGAGAGGGAGGAGCGGTGTTGGTGTATGGGGAGAGGGAGGAGCGGTGTTGGTGTATGGGGAGAGGGAGGAGTGGTGTTGGTGTATGGGGAGAGGGAGAAGCGGTGTTGGTGTATGGGGGTTATCTTGAGGTTATCTTGAGATGATTTCGGGGCTTTAGTGTCCCCGCGGCCCGGTCCTCGACCAGGCCTCCACCCCCCAGGAAGCAGCTCGTGACAGCTGACTAGCACCCAGGTACCTATTTTACTGCTAGGTAACAGGGGCATAGGGTGAAAGAAACTTTGCCCAATGTTTCTCGCCGGCGCCTGGGATCGAACCCAGGACCACAGGATCACAAGTCCAGCGTGCTGTCCGCTCGGCCGACCGGCTCCCTGGGGAGCGTCCCTCCCTCCCGACCAGGGGAGGGAGGAGCGGTGTTGGTGTATGGGGAGAGTGAGGAGGAGGGTTCATCCAGTTCCCCCACCATCCATCCATTCAGTTCTCCCACCATCCAGTCCCCTCACCATCCATCCATCCAGTCCCCTCACAATCCGTCCATCCAGTCCCCTCACGATCCATCTATCCCATCCACTCACCATGTATCCATCCAGTCCCCTCACCATCCAACCATCCAGTTGCCCTCACAAATGCAATATTCAAGTGCGATTGTCTCTAAGCGGGAGACATGGGTAAACTCAAGGGCAATCACCCGTGCCACCAGGAACCACGCGCTTGGTTGATCCATACTTGTATCAACAAAGTTGCAAGTCGCGGCAAAGATCGTAAGTCGAATAGAATTTTCCGACGAAATTGGGGCCGTAACTCGAAAAATTTGTAAGTAGTAATTTGTAAGTATTCATAAGTTGAAGTTCCACTGTATTTTATTTAAGTTTCCCGTGATTAGAGACCACATTTAAACAATATATGAAGAGAAAATAATTTTGGATAAATAATTTTTTCTGGCACACCACGGGGTGTCATATTATAATATGGCGCACTTGAGTTGTTAATCACCTAATCAAAGCTTCCAGCAAATATGCTGTACATGAACTGCCCTGATTATAAATTCACCTAAAAGAATAATGATTATTTAGGGTTAAGGCAAACATAATGATCTAATACAATGTAAGCCAAATACAAAATAAAAACAATAACAAAGCAATGTTATAAAGATGGTAGCACTGACCGCATATGAACCACGGTACCAAATGATGGTCGGTGTCGGGGAGCCTTCAGCCACACATTTCAACACAACTACATCATTTTCTTCGCTGCTAACTTTAGTATCAAACTGCACAATGCGAGGTGCTTGACCTGTAACTGAAGAATATTGAATGCATCAATAATTTCTGCCAATTTAACAGACTTAAAACAACACTGACATACCTTTTATTAGCATTTCTCTGTGTATTGCAAAATTTTTTTAGTATCAATAAATTATTTGAAATTAAAATTTTGTATTTCATTGCATGCTAAATAAAACAATATTCATAGGAACATGTGAGTGAATGAAACTATAGAAAGCCTATTGACCCATATCTATATCCACCAAACTCATTCATATAAATGTTTAATCTATGGTTTGAAGCAATCTAGTAATTTCACATCTATTATGTTACCTAGTAATTTATACCATAAATCAACAATCCTATTTCCAAACCAGTTGTTACCCAGGTCTTTCCTAAATCTAAACATATAAATTTATCTCTATTGTTCCATGTTTTATTTTGTGTTGATAAATTTAAAACATTGTTAATTTTAAAACAAGGACAGGAAGTTTAAAACTGACTGTCCTCATCGAGGCCACTAGGGTTGGTGGCCCTCAGATAAATCAAGTGTATCCCAGTTTTATACGCTTTTCTGTGGGGAGCCCTGTCGGCTTCCTGAAGCTATCCAAACTGGCTCGTGCTATGTTAGTTTGGTGTCATCAGTCCCTGGAGTTCTGAATGCCTATTGGGGACCACAAGCCAGAACCTGGTCTCCTTAGAGAGGTGCAGGGAGCAATGGTCATATAAGTATGCTGCTCTGGCTGCTGTTTTTGGTACTATGTCTTGAGTCAACATTTGGATACAGAAGTTTTGGTTCTCGAACAGGGTCCTGGCCGCCAGATTTCTTGTGATTGCTCCAGGCTTTCTCTAGCCTTTTTTGACCTTGGGACATCTGTCGCAGTCTGCAGTCTCATCTTCATCTTGAGACTTGCAGTTCTGCTCCCTCCTGGGTTAGTCCCTAACTTTAATTTTTCTTATCTGTGGGTAGTTAACCTCAGGGAGCCATCAGGGCACCCCACAGAAAACCAGTATTAAATGTAATGAAATGCCATTTTCTGGGCAAGCCCTGGAGGCTCCCTGACACCCTCCCTTCCTCTGGTTGATAGTTTTTATCACTCTACAAACTGGGGTAGAGTGAACAGCAAGCTGCTGGCTTGCATGAGCAAGCTTCCCCCTCCTCCAAGCCTTCCCCCTCTTGGGAGAAGGAGAGGGGTGGGGGTGAGCGCTAACAAGTAGGCGTGTTAGATGGATGACGATTTGCTTGCTTGTTCGTTTTCTTTTGGGGGAAGTTCTTTGGTTCTGTTCAGACGCAGGTTGCAATTTTCACCAGTAGAGGGTTTGCATTAATTTGCCTACCTTTCTGGTGGTATCCCTGGTTGATGGTAGACATGATAAACAAAATGTAGAGTGCTCATATGGCCATTACTCCCTGCGCCTCTCTGAGGGGACCAGGTTTTGGCTCGTGGTCCCCGGTAGGCATTCAGAACTCCCAGGACTGATGACACCAAAATAATATTGCACATATCAGTTTGGATAGCTTCTGGGAGCCTCTGGGGCTCGCCCAGAAAAAAACCAGCGTTGAATATAATGAAACTGAAATGCCATTTTCTGGGTGAGTCCCGGACGCTCCTGGGAGCTATCCAGGCTGAATGGATATGTATATCTTTCTAGCATCAGTCAATGCATGGAGTTCTTGCCTACCACGAGCCAGAACCTGGCCCCTCTCAAGAGAGGCACGAGGAGCAATGGCCTATAGCGACCCCCCTGTGGTTGGGAGCATTTTATGTCTGCCATCGACCGGGACAGGCACCCAGAAAGGTAGGTGCCCCAAAACCAATCCTTATTCTGGTAAAACTATTGCGACCAAAGGCTGAACAAGTGGACAGAAGTCCCCAAACGAAAATTAGCAAACTAGCATAACGTAATCATGTCGTCGCACCGCTGTCTGGCCACCCCCCCTCCTCTCCGGGAGGGGGAAGGTGGAGCCCCAGATTCACCCGCCCGCGGCCCAACCTTCAGTTCTTAGGCTGGATGTCAAAAAGTGAGAAAAACGCCGCTGACCGGAGGGAGGGAGGGATGCCGGGGAGCCTCTGGGACTCACCCAGAAAATGGCGTTTCATTACATTCAACGCTAGTTTTCTGGGGGGAGCCCCGTCGGCTCCCCAGAGTTACCTCACTACAGATAAGGAAAAGAGGGAAGGATCAGGGAGGCGGACGCCATGCGCCCTAACCTAAAAAACCAAGACCACAAATGAAACAAAGACCCTGCAGAACCGAACCCCCAAACAGGAATGAGGGAAGAAGGGAACACGAACAATCAAAACGCGTCCACGACCCCAGAGGCCAAGATGCGCAGAGAACAGCAAAAAAAAAAAAAAATGCAACCAAACAACAAAGAAAGCACCCCCCCGGCCCGACCAAGCAAACAGCAACCCAAAGACCAAAACGAGAAGAAAATAGACCTGGGTACCCAGGCCAACGACCAGGACGGCACCAGAACTCAAGAGCAGGTCGGAGGTGAAACAACGCCTAGGACAGCAAGTGGAATGGAGCAGAACGAACCGCAACATCGAATGCAAGCAGGAGCGGCTCCACCAGCACCACCCAAGACGAGATGACAGGACACGGTCCCAGACGACAGTCCCAGAACAACCCCGAAGGGAACACAAGCCAACCCTATCAGAGACCGAAGGACCCTTTGCAGTCATAGGAAAACTGGAAGGACTGCCAGGAAAACCACACACCGCCCCCGAGACGAAATACGCAGGTGGGAGACCAACAACTAACCCAACAGTGCTGACATAAATGACAAGAAACAAGCACCGCGAACGAAAGCGCAAAATGCGAATTGAAAAACAGTGACCCCACAACCTTAAGGAGTAACATAACCGGCTCCAGTAGGGAAGGAAGACGCACGGGTCCCTGAGGCATCCAAAAGGAGAACTACGCAGGACATGAACCGCAAACAAACACACCCATTCCGGAAAAGGAACAAAGAAAAGCTGGAGCCAGGACCGGAACCCAGCTTACAGTTCCAAGAAAAGAAACCAGTAAGGCAGGAGCGGCGGACCGGAAGTCCACAACCTCCCATAAGACAGTGCAACACCGAAGCCTGCAGTAAGTCACAAAGAAAAATCGTAAGAACTCAGTACCAAAACGGAACGCCTGAGAAGTCCAAAGGCAGGGAACTAAACATGGACAGAGGCCCACCCGAGCACCCAACATCAGGATAGTCAAGAAGCACTGACCCAGATACACAGACAAGTGTAGCATAGGAGGAGGAAAAATGGAAAGAGGCAAGGAAAATCCCGAATACGGACCAAGAAGCGGCCAGGAAGTAATGCACATGACCAACCACAAAATGTGCAGTGGAGTGGAGGGCGTACATACCTGAGGGACCTCATGGACAGCAGGGTGCAGCCAGGCACTGAAGATAGGCAAGGAATGAGTGTCCAGATAGAGAAAAAACCCTGGTGCCGACAACGAAACCAAAAGCACCGAAATGCGGGGCAGAGCCCCACAGGACAACAAAGAACAAGATACATGGACAAAGGAAGGTCACTGAAGACACACGCAAGGTAACTAAACATAACACCACACCAAAACACCCCTGTTAGGAACCATCGACGCAACCCTGCCAAGCGGGTTAGAGAGTAAACAAGGATGGAGCAGTGACCAAGGATGGCACATGCCACCCTTGTGGCACATTTTGTACACGAAACAAGGGGTATAAATTGGAGAAGTGTAGATTTAGGAAAGATTTGAGGAAATACTGGTACAGTAACCGGTTGATGTCCGTTGATGTGTTGAACCAATTACCGCGTAACGTGGCGGAGGTGGGGGCCCACGATTATGTCAAGAGTGGGATGGACATCCCACTCCTAGGCTCTAGGAGCCTAGGAGCCTAGGAGATATATATATATATATATATATATATATATATATATATATATATATATATATATATATATATATATATATATATATATATATATATATATATATATATATATATATATATATATACCCAATCCCACTCTCATATATATATATATATATATATATATATATATATATATATATATATATATATATATATATATATATATATATATATATATATATATATATATATATATATATATATATATACCCAATCCCACTCTCATATATATATATATATATATATATATATATATATATATACCCAATCCCACTCTCATATATATATATATATATATATATATATATATATATATATATATATATATATATATATATATATATATATATATATATATATATATATATATATATATATATATATATATATATATATATATATATATATATATATATATATATGAGAGTGGGATTGGGTGGTAATAAATAGGAGCTGCCTCGTATGGGCCAATAGGCCCTCTGCAGTTCCTCTATTCATATGCCCTGATGTTCGTATACACAGGGGGACACAGGAGGAAGCTGAGTACCCAAAGGAGCCACAGACATGAAAAAGATCCTGATCAGTTCATATGCCCTGATGTTCGTATACACAGGGGGACACAGGAGGAAGCTGAGTACCCAAAGGAGCCACAGACATGAAAAAGATCCTGATCAATGTCAGAGGAGATAGGAAGCGGAAAGCACTAGGAAGCCACGTGGCGGAGGCAGACTCCACCAACAGGAGCAAACATAGAGAAGACAGAGCCTAGGAGGCTCAGGAAATAGCACAACCGTCGTGATCCCCGGTAGGCAAGAACTTCTAGCACTTTGACTGATGCCAGAAAATTATACATATCCATTCAGCCTGGATAGCTCCGGGGAGCTGACGGGGCTCCCCCCAGAAAGGGGATGAAAATCTTAGAACTAGGGCCTAAGCAGATTCCAAAGAGTAGACAAGCACTGCTTGTCTGAACGCAAGGTGAGAAACTAAGAACAGAGACAACGTCTCCTTCAAAATTGGTGCATACAACTTCAAGGCAGCCAATGCCTGCACTGCCAAGGCCATCACATGGGACACCAGCCCGGAACCCAGCTCCTCCACATCCTCCTTGAGCAGTCGGAAGAGAGCTCCAGCAGAAAAAAGAAGCTCAAGACCGAAGCCAAATGCCCACGGGCAAGCAAATCCTTGGTCACCAGGGAAGCCGAAAGGAAGGGAACATGCATATGAAGCTGCACCAGGCCGATATTGCGAGAAAGCATGGGGGCAAACAAGCAATGCATTGAGGTGCTCAAACTTGCCCCCCAGATAAACCTGAAGGACCATAGTCATCTCCCCAATTCAAGCATGCTGGTCTGACAGAATGCATGCCAAGCCCCCATCGAAAAGAAAGGGCAGTCTGCCAGCCAGGAAGACTCTGGTACCTCGTAACGTACCCAGTAAGAAAAGGAGGAGCCAAACTTAAAAGAAGAAGGATCCACTATTGAGGCGTAATCCAGGTCTCGCAGGAGGTAAGCTGCAAGGGTCTAAAGTACCTCCCTCGGCAGGATGCGGATGCCAAAAACCTCCGGAAGGAGGGAACTGAGGAACCCAAGGGAACCTGGAACCAAATCCGGGGAGGAGTTGAACCCACATCAAACTCGTACAGGGAGGGGAATATGAAAACCCCTCCCCCTATAACAACAAGCCCCATGCCGAGGGTACCAACACCAAAGTGGGGTCAAACGGGGCCCAAGCCCCCCAAGTCGACTCCTCTCCAACTCTGGGATCCTCCACGTCATAACCCGGGACGAAGGCGTCTTCCAAACCCTCTGCCTCTGGAGAAAAGGCAGAGCTCACTGGAAAAGCAGGTATGGACAGGGCCCATTTGTGCTACCTAAAACCCTGCATGGAGAAACAGGCTTGAATGCCTTTGCCGTCGATCCGGAAGGGGGAGTCTGCAAAGCTGCCCGAGTCTCACCACCAAGAAAACCCTGCCCCGACTCCGAAACCATCAGACGTTTGGGAGCCGGGAGGCAGTGCCGGGGGGAGGAGGGGGAGCACGATAAACAGCAACATGGGGAAGGACAAAGGGGCGCAGACGAAACCACAGTCGAAGCGACTAACACCCCAGAGTTTGGGTCCCTATAACCAAAGTAGGGCAGCCATGGGGACAACCACACATGCAACCTTTACGTTCAGCAACCGCACATGCAACACAGATGCTGCCTGCACCCGATCAACCATATTATCGGACTGGGTGAACTGGAGTACACTGGTTTGGCACAGAACACCACTCACAAGACTTTGGGTCAAAGGTGTCGTAGACCCAACAAGCAGCATGGCGGAGGCAAAGATGGTGAACGTCACCCGGAGACAAGGGAACAGAGCAACCTTCAAATTTGCACGATGCAAGGTGGGACTCAGAGGTCTCCTCCATCAAACCAATGAGCCCCAATGGGCTTTTCCAGGGCCCTTAGGTTGACTGCTAAGGGAAGCCCAGTACTGCTAAGTACTGCTAACTAGTTATCCCAGAGCTACCAAGCAAACAAACTAAAATCTGAACCCTTGCGACGTGCAATCACGGGGACCTAGCAGAGGGCCACCAAAATCATACAAGTGGTTCTACAGCCACACCAGGCAAACCCCCCCCCTCCCACCAGGCAAAAGAAAAGAAAAGAAAAAGAAAAAACCTAAAAGCACGTCTTCAGGGGAACAGAACCAGCCGCTATGCGTATATCAGATAGCTGCACAGTACCTTGCGCCCCAGCCAGCGATGATACTACCTCCTACCCAAGGTCAAATAGGAGTAAGAACAACCCCAGCTGACCCCCAAGGAAGGGCAATCACCGAGCAGCAAAAGAACCACACGGAGGTAGTCTCCCGGGACATATAAGGGAGGTGGCCCTAGGCACATGCAGCCCCAGTACTCTTGTGTTACTCCTGGCTCACACACCACCACACAGTAGAACAACACCGCTATGTACAGAACTGCTTAAAAGGATGGAGCCAGAGTCGATCGAATGCCACCAAACACAACAGCCTCTGAACTGGGGGTTGGATAGCAGGCACGGGAGGTCTGGGAACCCCCCTTTTCCCTGCTGGGGAGGGGAGAGTTGTGCAGACAGCGGCATGGTGGCTGTGGTGACGTCATGCTTGTTTGCTCATTTTCAATTGGAGAGTTGTGCTTGCTAGCTCGGCTTTCGGTTTGCAATTTTGAACCAGTTGTAGTTTGTTTTGGAATTCCTACCTTTCTGGGTGCCGCCTGACCTAGTAGATGGCAGACATAGATTGCCTCCAATTACGTGGTGGTGCCTATAGGCCATTGCTCCTCTTTGCTTGCTTTTCTATGCATACTTCATAATTTTGTTTAGCTTATTATTAACATTTTTTGTTAGTTTCACAAATTGTTGTTTTGGCCAGACTTCTGTATTTTTAATTTGCTTGTATATACAGTAGTGTTCTTCTTTTGGATAAGATTATCAATCCCGGGTTAATCATTTTGGTTTATTGTTATTTGACCTATACAATTTATATGGTATATGTACTATGTTCCTGAGCTTTACTAAAAATGTTTTTATATTTGTTGAAATTTTAATCTACATTATAATCCATTGTCATGCCACACACTGCTAGACACACATCACGTCCTAAGGGCATCCCAAGTGCCATGTTCAGGTCCACCCACTCTTCCCTTCCCAAGAAACCTCTTGCTCCTTCAAAATTAGCTTTATGAAAATCTGGCCCCTAACAGTTTTTTCTATTGCACACCTTTTACATGCTGTATTTAATCAAATTTATCTATAGTACAGAGTTTACTGTCTATTTTGATACTGTTAATAATTGAGGCTGTTATATTAGTTCTACTTTATTTATGCCTACTTGGATAGAAAACAAACTTTATACATAAAAGATAAAACATAAATGAACAAATATTTAAATCCTTATATATATAACTATACAAATTATTTAAGTGTCAACTTCAGTTATCTGAAGTTGACACTTAAAACCTGAATTATATAATTCAGTTATAAACCTGAATTATACAATTAAATCACAACCAGGTAGTAAACTTACCAGCTGGTATTGTGGTGAACACAGGAGGGGGGGAGTAAGCAGGCTGCTGATCATCTTGTACAGGAGCTACACATGTGTAGCCACATCCAGTGTAGCAACATTTCTGGTCTCCATAGCAACTGGCATCATTCTCACAACCATTCTCACACTGGTAAGTTCTTCCACTTGTCTTTGGACACTCCCCAGGTTTATTAACTGTAACAAAACAATGTTAAAGGCCATATGAACAATTTTGCATCCAGCTTTATATTTAAAACTTTAAAACTTTTCTATATTTATAAGTAAAATTTTGCTTTATATCCTTAAGTCTTTTATTATTTTTATACAAAATTTAGTTTACCGAGTTACTGCAGTAGCTAGCATTTCAAAATCCTACATTTAGCATCCAAAAATAAAAAACCCAGTGTTGAATGTAATGAAAAGCCAGAGTCTGGGTGAGCCCCAGAGGCTCCCTGAAGCTATCATCACTGATTAAGTACCATATTACCAAGCATCATCAGTTGCAGAGTTCTTTGTGCTTACCGGGAACCACGAGCCAGAACGTGGCCCCCCTTGAGAGGCGCAAGAAGTGATGGCCTATGATCACTTTACATTTAAAAGATGTCATCTTTGCCATCACCAGGAAGATAGGCAAATGAAAACAAACCACTGCTTGGTTTTAAAACAAACCTAAAGCCCCCAAAATGCTAAAAGAACTCCCCAAATAATAATAAAAACAACAAACTTTGTGAAACTAGCCCACCTCTATTTTGCTCCCACCTCCCTCCTCGTTGGGGGGAGGGAGGAGCCATGGTGGAGTGCCCAGGCCGAAAGGCTTCAGTTCTTTACTGAGAAATACAGCTCTGTAAAAAAAAAAGCTCTGTACCTCAGGGTACAGTCCTTGCACCGCTGCTTTTCCTTATTCTCATATCAGATATAGACAAAAATACAAGTCACAGCTTCGTATCATCCTTTGCAGATGACACAAAAATCAGTATGAAAATTACCTCGGCTGAGGACATTGAAAAACTTCAAGCTGATATTAACAAAGTTTTCGACTGGGCATCAGAAAATAACATGATGTTTAACAGTGATAAATTCCAGGTACTCAGGTACGGTAGAAATGAGGACCTTAAACATAATACAGAGTACAAAACACAATCAAATGTACCCATAGTAGGAAAACAGCATGTAAAGGATTTGGGAATAATAATGTCTGACGACCTAACGTTTAAGGAGCATAACCAAGCAAATATTGCGACAGCCAGAAAAATGATAGGATGGATTACGAGAACTTTCAAATCCAGGGATCCCATCACAATGGTTGTACTCTTCAAGTCACTTGTGTTGTCCCGTCTTGAGTACTGCTCAGTACTCACTTCCCCCTTCAGAGCAGGAGAGATTGCTGAAATAGAGGGAATACAGAGAACATATACGGCACGCATAGATGCAATAAAGCACCTAAATTATTGGGATCGTCTCAAAGCCCTCCAAATGTACTCACTAGAAAGAAGACGAGAGAGATATCAAATAGTATACACCTGGAAGATACTGGAGGGCCAAGTACCAAATCTACACAGTAAAATAACAACGTACTGGAGTGAACGACATGGAAGAAAATGTAGAATAGAACCAATGAAGAGCAGAGGTGCCATAGGCACAATCAGAGAACACTGTATAAACATCAGAGGTCCGCAGTTGTTCAACGTCCTCCCAGCAAGCTTAAGAAATATTGCCGGAACAACCGTGGACATTTTCAAGAGGAAACTAGATTTATTCCTCCAAGGAGTGCCGGACCAACCGGGCTGTGGTGGGTATGTGGGCCTGCGGGCCGCTCCAAGCAACAGCCTGGTGGACCAAACTCTCACAAGTCGAGCCTGGCCTCGGGCCGGGCTTGGGGAGTAGAAGAACTCCCAGAACCCCATCAACCAGGTATCAACCAGGTACACCACTGACCTGGGGAGGGAGGGTGTCAAGGAGCCTTCAGGGCTCACCCAGAAACTGGCGTTTCATTACATTCAACGCTGATTTTCTGTGGGGAGCTCCATTGGCTCCCTGAAGTCAACTGCCCACAGAGAAGGACAAATAGACATACTTGCCAGGGAGGCGGGACACAAGGGTTCTGACACCGAGAAAGCAGCACCTGATGCTGCTAGGGGGATGCTAGGGGGCATGACAGCTGAGTGGACGGTGCTCTGGACTTGTAATCCTAGGGGTCCGGGTTTGATCTCCGGACCCAACACGGTGATGGCAAAATCAAAATGGGCAGAGTTTCTTTCACCCTGATGCTCCTGTTACCTAGCAGTAAATATATACCTGGGAGTTAGACAGCTGTTATGGGCTGCTTCCTTGATTGACAGTTGAGAGGCGGGCCGAAAGAGCAGAGCTCAACCCCCGCAAGCACAACTAGGTGAATGTAACTAAGTGAATGCCTGGAACAAAGGCTGGGCTGGCCAACAAGGAGCCAAAAGAATCACTCTGCCCTTGTACAACTCCAGCGAGACCGAGAAAAAAGAGGTAAATGTACCCTAACTCAACTAATCCAGCCAAAAGGAAATAGAGGCATGCACCGAGATCACACTGTCATGAAGAGAGGTTGACGTCCGCGTGCCCGAATGTCCGACAAAGCTAGAGGAGGAAATTGGCGTTGACGGTCCATTCCGTGGAAACGAGACAGGAAGGGAGGGAGGGAGGGAGGGAGGGAGGGAGGGAGGGAGGGAGGGAGGGAGGGAGGGAGGGAGGGAGGGAGGGAGGGAGGGAGGGAGGGAGGGAGGGAGGGAGGAAGGGAGGAAGGGAAGGGAAGGGAGGAAGGAAGGAAGGAAGGAAGGGAGGAAGGGAGGGAGGAAGGAAGGAAGGAAGGAAGGAAGGAAAGGAAGGAAGGAAGGAAGGAAGGAAGGAAGGAAGGAAGGAAGGAAGGAAGGAAGGAAGGAAGGAAGGAAGGAAGGAAGGAAGGAAGGAAGGAAGGAAGGAAGGAAGGAAGACAGACCGTCGGTCAAAAAGGTGAATACTCACTGAACATGAACGGTGCAGAGATGTAAATCCCAAAAACTCAGCAGAAGAAATACCCAAAGTGACCAGCCTCACAGAGCCATGGACTGAAGAGGGGACCCTCCCAGGTTGAGACAATGAACCATGGGAGGAACAGTCTGAATGGAGGTCACTGAGCCCTGTGGAATTCGAACTCTGGGGCTTTGTGACAAGTGCTCACCAGGCCGGCCAGGGGCAGTGGGATCCATCCTTCTGTCGAGCCCACAGTGCAGTGCGGGGAATTCGCAGAGGTGTGGATGTCGCTCCGGAAGGTTCAGGTCGCTCACGGATCGACGATCAGGCTCCATTCGAACGGCTCCCTGGTGGTTCATTGCCTGAACCGACATTGCCTGGCTCTTTGGGAGTGGTCACTTTGGGTGACTCATCTGCTGAGTTCTCTGGGTTTGGCTCTCCTGGCAGTTCATGTTCGGGGGGTGTTCAACATCCTGGCGAGGATGTTGTTCGGTTCATTCCCACTGTCCACAGAATGAACGGTTGATGCCGGCTCGTTCCATTGGCTCTGCCAGACGTACAAGTCCCCAGAGATGAACTTCTTCACATTGGCGTGGTCGAGTTGTCCCCGTGTTATGTAGCATCCTTTCCCGACTGCAAGGCCATAAGGATCAATGCTTTTTGGCAGGACTGGTCGAGGTGGGGTTACTTTTACCTCTTTTCCCCGGTTTCGCTGTTGCTCCAGGTCCTGGCTGGCCTGGAGACTTACCAGGGAAGAGTCGTTCTATTGGCCCCTAGGTGGCCGGCCCAGCCTTGGTTTCAGGTGATGCCTGCTCGGTGTCTGAACCAGGGGTCCTCCCGTGGCTCCAGCTCTTTCAGGAGATCGACCCGGTCTGCTATGTGGCTGGTTCAGTCTTCTTCTCTAGTCTTCGTATCTGATCTTTTTGACTCAAGTTCTCATCATGTGTATGGTGATTAGGTGGCTTCTTCAATGGTGTCCCACCTGCATGATTCGTTCCAGCGTCAGTATGAAGTTTCCTGGCAGTCCTTCTGGTTTTTCTTGTCCCTTCGTAGGTTTACTTCGGTTTCTGTTGCGGTGTTGTCCTCTCTTTTGTGGTTGTTTCAGGCCCGTCATCTTATTCCTGATACTGTTGCCTCTTATCGTGCGGCACTGGCAGAGCCACCACTGCTGCATTTAGGGTTGATGTTACTTTGGCACCATTCCGCAAGCTGTCTCCTGCATTGTTTCACCTCCAGTCTGCTCATGCGCCGATTGAGCCGTCCTAATCTCTGGATCAGGTGCTCTCCTTTCTCTCTTCTCCTCAGTTAGTAGTGGCCCCTTCAGTTCAGGATTGTTTCTCTGTGGCTCTCTTCCTGTTGGCATTGGCTTCTGGGGGTCAGGTCAGGAAGCTTCATACTCTCGTCTGGTTCAGAGGGTTTGTGCTCATTTCGTCCTGGTGGTAGGTTTGTTCGGTTGCAGCTGTCTCCTCCTTTTCTGGTGCTGAGACTGCTGTTTTCCGGGGAGGGGGCGTCCTCTGGCTGCCGATGCTTGGTTGGTTAGGTCAGGGGTGCATCGTGTGCTTCGTCCGGTTGTGGCTCTCTGCCGTTATTTGCGCACCTCAGCTTCTGTGTTCCGGGATGAGCTTTGGTTTGATCTGGTTTCCCCTTCTTCCCTGTTGCAGGGTTCAGGTTTCCCGGGTTGTCTGCAGGGTCCTTCGGTGCTGTTGGTTGTCTAGCCTTTGTTTTGAGTTGCACATGGCGAATGCCTCCCGGGTGCATCCCTCTTGTCCTTTTCTGTGGTGAAGTAGCTCCAGATAGCCAAAGCGGCTCCCCCCAAAAAATCAGAGGCATTAATCATGCCAAAACTAGAAGATAGAAGAAAAAGAGGTGATATGATCATCACTTACAAAATATTAACAGGAATTGACCAAATTAACAAAGAGGAATTCCTGAAACCAACAACTTCACAAACAAGATGACACAGACTCAAGGTAATGAAACAAATCAGCGTTGAATGTAATGAAACGCCATTTTCTGGGTGAAAATCCTACAGAGCCCCTACGTAAAATCCTCCAGGGAGCCGTAGGGGCTCCCCACAGAAAACCAGCGTTGAATGTAATGAAACGCCATTTACTGGGTGAGCCCCGGAGGCTACCTGGCAACCCTCCCTCCCACCGGTCGGCTTTCTTTTGCGTTGGTTGAAGCTTAGCTTCCGAACTGATGCTAGGCAGCCAGCGCGGTGAGGTCCGGGGCCCCACCCCCCTCCCCTTCTTGGGGCGGGGAGGGCTGCGCGGATGATCGGCGGGCAGTAAAGTGTGATGTTTGCTTATTTGCTTGTTTCCTTGGGATTGTAGGGAGTTTCTACCTCTGTTTTTTTGTTTTAGTGTTTTACCATGTGGGGTTTGTTTTGTTATGCCTACCTTTCTGGGTGCCTAACCCCGGTTAACCCTTAAAGTGCGCATAACGTCATATGACGTGTTGGACGTTGTTCCAGTCAACTGCGCATCACGTCATATGACGTGTTGGAGTACTACGCAAGATTTAAACTTCCCGCGGATACACGGGGTTCACCACACCTTCATCAGGGCTCTTGTAAACAGACGCCATTTTTTAAAAAAATCATGGGCCAAACTTCCGGGTGTTATTGGCCTCAGTATTGAGTGAGCAACCAAGCCTGACGCACGCAGCATGAGCTAACAGCACTGCTGTTCAGCTTGTGACCACAGCATCGCCTAAAAATGCCAAAATATACTTGTTCATGCAATTATGTAGCGATGATATTATTACAGAAGACCCCTGACTGATAAAACTGACCAGGGTTCTGATAATAGTAGGATTGTGGTGATATTTAGTGCTGTGCGCCATGGAGGGAGGAGTAATGCTGTGGGAGGGAGGGTGGTGGCGATGTCTTCTGACTGTGTGTGGCCACCTTTTATTGACTGCACTCACCATACCAGCTTAGTGGTTCGCTATGGTGAACACAAATGTAGATACTTATATATAACGTGTGTATAGAGGGTATAAACAGCAAGAGAAGGTTGGGAGCTGCCATTTTGGTGAGGGCGGTGGCGTCGTCTGCACGACGCTACCGTGCAGACGACGGTGTTGTTTACTGGTTACCACGATGGTCTTTGGGCACCATACCAAATTATTTGTACAAGTATGGTGAATAAAACAGGTAGATATTTATATATAATGTGTGTATATAGCGTAATAACACCACATAGTATTGTTGGAGGAGAAATATTAGTGCAACTGGCCTTGAGGGCGGCAGCCACCAGCTGACTGTGTGAGGTCCTACGTCTTTGTGCCTTTACTCACCATACAAGCTTAGATGTACAGTTATGGTGAACAAAACATGTAGATACTTATATATAACGTCTGTATATAGTGAATTATAGCAAAAACAGTATTGTGGGAGGAGAATGTGGGTGAGTCAGATGACTTGAGGAAGGGCGGGAGTGGCTGGCTGGTACACGACGGTCACTCCTTGTTACTTTTTGACTCATAATAGCTACTTAGTGGCTCGTTATAGTGAACAAAACATGCAGATACTTATATATAACCTGTGCTTATAGTGTAATAACCGACAAAGTATTTGTTCACTGATTGATGAACATAATTGAATCAACAGTATGCACACCATATTTTTGAGTACAACAATGATTCACTCATTTTATTATATAAATATATCAAACTACACACTATTGAATAATATTACAGCAAAAAAACTATGAAAAATCAATCAGAGACATTGAAATAATTAGGTAATTATCTCTTTGTGGCAACTCCAGCCTGACAGCTGGCGAGCAACAGACCGCCTGGGACGCACGCTGAGTCAGCGCCTATTTTTTGGCAGACTTCCCCGCCCTATAGCGGGTAATATATGCCACTTATGATTTTTTTATTATTTTTTCCCGTGATCAGTGAACACAAATTAACAGGTTAGGAAGAAAAAATATATATTTTTTTTTCAAAATTACATGCGCCTGTGGGGAAGAAAGGATATTATACCCCCTAGCATGTTAAGGGTTAATGGCAGATAAGGAAAACCCCAACCACAAGAGGGGTTTTCCAGAGCCATTGCTCCCTGAAACCTCTCTGAAGGGGCCAGGTTCTGGCGCTAGTACCTGGTAGGTCTGAACTCCTTAGCTAATTTTCTGGTCTAATATAATATACATTAGCCCGATAAGCTCCAGGGAGCCTCCGGGGCTCACCCAGAAAATGGTGTTTCATTACATTCAACGCTGGTTTTTTCTATGGGGGAGGACCAGCTCAGAAATAAAGTCTTGAATGTAATAAAATGTGCCGCTTAATGATGCTACATTTCCACCCTTGTTTCCTCTTCTACACATAATTTAGGAATAGCTTATGAGTGAATGGCTTATAAGTGAGGAGGATGATGAACCAGGATCCCTGGAGACCTGATCCAGTCGGATGAGTCGGGGCGATGATTTGCCTAATTGCTTTGTATTATGGTTTGCTTTGTTATGTTAATTTTGTTTCTTGAGAGGAGTGGTTTGTTTTGTTTTTCCTGTAACTTTTTAGGTAATTTCCCTTATCCAATGCCCAGTATATAAATGGTAGGTTAGATCTTTAATCCCTCCATTCAACTTTGCATGTGTTGAAGTTGTGCTTGTTTAAGGGAGTGTTTTTTCTGGTAGTGTTTTCTGTTCTGTGAATCAGGTTCTGGGTCTCAGAGGCCTGATATGTGTCTAAGGCTTGATTATTTACAGGTTCCAGGTTGCAGCTAAAGGAACTACCAAGGATGTCCTCCCAGAAACACACCTAAGACTTCAGGACACCCAACCCGTAAATCTCAAAATAAAGGAGTTGACGATGCTTTAGTTCATGTTGAACCATTATCAAGTCCTGTAAGCACACAACTTGATAATGGTTGAGGACAGACTGAAATGTTGCCAATTCTTTTATTTTCAAATTTGTGAGTTAGGTGTCAAATTTTCAGCCAAGTTTTTGTGACTAGTCTACATCTAGACTATATAAACTACACTTTATAGCTACTGTATGTCAAAATATCACGTCATAATTACTAAATAATATAATGCTATGCAGTATAATAAAGGTTGTTGATTGTAAAAATAAAATGCTATAGGGACTCAATGTTAGTGGTTTTATTTGTTTAAGATAAAATAAATGTTTAAGTATAAATGAAACTTTGCAAACATACCTTTTCTACAGACAGCCATGTAATTATTTCTTCTAGAGCCCTCTCCACCAGCAATAAGATCAATTGCACACTGAGTACCATTACTACATCGAACTTGGTCACATGGATCATAACATGAACATCTTTCACATTCATCATAGTCAACTCTTTTCTGCACTCCATATGGACACTGAAGATAAATGATATTGTTACATTGAAAAAATTTCTTTCACTTATACCATAGCATGTTTTATTTTCACATAACATAAGATGGACACAATGATTTAAATAATATTCTACCTGAATTTTTATTACTGACATTTATCAGAAAGCCATCTGGTTGGCTTCAGAAAGGACTGGAATCAATACAAATACTTCAAAAGTCAAGCACTGAATACAATGACACTATTTTCTGATGGGCTTCTCAGTAGCTCCATGAGATACAGCATTGGGGTTGCCAAGCTTTGTAATGTTGCACCTGGCCTCTAAAACTTACTCAAGCCTACTGGGAGCACAGACCAGAATCTAGCTCGCTCTCTGCAAAGCAAGAGAAGCTTAGGGATCAACCCACCAAGGACAAAATCCATCAAAATACATAAGAACCTCAACATAAGCAACTGCTTGTAGGAAATGAGTAGCCCTTAACACTTTGGCGGCCCCAGCCCGCCAGCCCTCAACTAGGCCCAGTGGGTCCCAGCGTTTCACAGGAGTGCGCGGTAGTTCTGAAAAGTATATACTCTCTTCAACTTTATCACCCCAATTCTCATCCAGGGTTTTTCAATTTGGTATCATTGTGTTCGCAATAGAATTCTCTACACGACTAAAGACATATAAACTCCAAAAGCCCGGCGTACCATCCACAACAAACAGAGAAAGTGAGTGCGCGTGTGACCCGGGAGCGCATAAGAGCGATAAAAATGTGTACACTCCTTTCACGTTTGTCACCTCAATTCCCGTCCTAGGTCTTTCATTTTGGTAACATTGTGTTCGCAATAAAATTCCCTACAGGAGTATATGCAAATATAAAGTCCAAAAGCCAGGCGTACCACCCACAGCAAACACAGAAAGTGACGGAGCATAATCCCAGTGGGCGCTAATAAAATGGTATACTGTTTTCAACTTTGTTACCTCAATTCTGGTTCTAGGTTTTTCATTTCGGTATCAATATATTCACAATGAAATTCCCTACAAGAGTATATGCATATAATATCCAAAACTGCTGTGCGCCCCTCCCAAAGCCGCCGCCAATCTGCTGCCGAAAATGACGCAATGCTGTGTCGTTCCCGGGATCACGTCTACTAAAAATATGATGCAATGCTGCATCGTTCCCGGACGAAAGTGTTAAGAAAACAAGACAAACAAGTGTTGCCACAGTTGTCATTCATGAGCCACCAAAGCTTGTGAACCCCTTCCGCCTTCCATAGGAAAGAAAGGAACAGGGTGAGGATGTGGAGCTACTGAGTTCCCCACCAAAAAGTGACGTTTCATTGCAATCTTCCACCTTGAAGAAAACTGCAAATGTAAGACCAATAGTCTGCCACTCAACAATCGTACAGATGATAGCAAACAAGTTCTAAAAACTCCCTAAGTAAGGCTCAGCAGAGCCTTGAACTATACTGATAGCAAGTCGCTGATTCACTGGGAAAGGCAGAGATTCAGAAAGATGAAGGGATTGGGATAATAGGTCATTAGAGCAGGAAACCATGGTTGAACTAGCCACAATAGAAGTCAACAGAAGGACTAGGCTCATAAATGTCTCCAACCTGGCCACCTTGAGGTTTCCTTGAGGTGATTCCGGGGCTCAGCGACCCCGCGGCCCGGTCATCGACCAGGCCTCCTCGTTGCTGGACTAATCAACCAGGCTGTTGGACGTGGCTGCTCGCAGCCTGACGTATGAGTCACAGCCTGGTTGATCAGGTATCCTTTTGGGGTGTTTGTCAAGTTCTCTCTCTTGAACACTGTGAGGGGTTGGCCAGTTATAACCCGTATGTGTAGTGGAAGCGTATTGAACAGCCTCGGTCCTCTGATGTTGATAGAGTTCTCTCTCAGAGTACCTGTTGCACCTCTACTTTTCAACGGGGGTATTCTGCACATCCTGCCATGCCTTCTGGTCTCATGTGATGTTATTTTTGTGTGCAGGTTTGGGACCAGCCCCTCTACTATTTTCCATGTGTAAATTATTATGTATCTCTCCCGCCTGCGCTCAAGAGAATACAGATTTAGGCATTTTAGCTGGTTCCAATAGTTTAGATGCTTTACTGAGTGGATTCCTGCAGTAAACAATCTCTGCACGCTCTCCAAGTCAGCAATTTCTCCAGCTTTGAAAGAGGCTGTCATTGTGCAGCAGTACTCCACTCTAGAGAGCACTAGCGCCTTGAAAAGTATCATCATCGGTATAGCATCTCTGGTGTGAAAGGTTCTTGTTATCCAACCTGTCATTTTTCTTGCAGTTGTGACGGCTACTTTATTGTGTTCTTTAAAGGTAAGGTCTTTCAACATGAGTACACCCAAATCCTTTACATTGCCTTTTCGTTCTATCTTGAAGTTATCTTGAGATGATTTCGGGGCTTTTTAGTGTCCCCGCGGCCTGGTCCTCAACCAGGCCTCCACCCCCAGGAAGCAGCCCGTGACAGCTGACTAACACCCAGGTACCTATTTTACTGCTAGGTAACAGGGGCATAGGGTGAAAGAAACTCTGCCCAATGTTTCTCGCCAGCGCCTGGGATCGAACCCAGGACCACAGGATCACAAGTCCAGTGTGTTGTCCGCTCGGCCGACCGGCTTCTATGTTATGATTTGACTGCGTTTTGAACATGGTTTCCGTTTTTATATTTTCCTTTTTTCCATAGCGCATGAGCTGGAACTTTTCTTCGTTAAACACCATATTATTTTCCATAGCCCATAGAAAGACCTGATTTACATCTGATTGGAAGTTTGCTGTGTCCTCTATGTTGTCTACTCTCATAAATATCCTAGTTTCATCTGCAAAGGATGATACAGTGCTATGGGTTGTGTCCTTGTCTATGTCCAATATGAGGATGAGAAAAAGTACTGGAGCAAGCACAGTACCCCGGGGGATTGAGCTCTTCACAGTTGATGAACTGGATTTGATTTTGTTGACTATTACACATTGGGTTCTATTAGTCAGGAAATCAGCCATCTGCCTATTTTTCCAGTAATTCCTTTTGAATGCATTTTATGTGCAATAACACCATGGTCACATTTGTCGAAGGCTTTTACGAAATCTGTGTAAATTACATCAGTGTTTTGTTTGTTTTCCATGGCATCTAGTGCCATGTCATAGTGGTCAAGCAACTGTGACAGGCAAAAGCGCCCTGTTCTGAAACCATGTTGTCCAGGGTTATGAAAATGCTGTGATTCCATGTATTTTGTGATCTTACTTCTTAGCACTCAAAGATTTTTATGATGATGGTTTTATGATGTTTTATGATTATTTATTTTTTATGAACCTGAGGGAAGAGGGAATGGTAAGACCACTGACTCCAATTCAGGCAACAGATGTCTACCATGAAAACCTTCACAATTAAAAAACAGTGCCACATGACCAAAAGCTACAAATTTAATTAAGAGGTGATCAGTTGCCCTGCATACTGCCTAGTCCACCGACCACTCCACTAAACTCGGACAGATGTTCCACATACCCAAAATATAAACTATATGGAGGACTTAATCTCGAGAAGTCAGAGGCCAAGCTATTAGCCAAGTCCTACCCCACAGGATAGGGAATGAGTTGAACCCCCCTTGGTTGAGACATTGGACTGTCAAAGTGCAATCTGAATGAAGGCATAGAGTGTAGCTCCAGTATTAGACAGACCTGCTGAGGCACTATCCTAAGACCTGCATACTTCAGGACCATGATGTGCATCTGCTGCAGGCAAAGAGTTCAGTGACCTTGACTGGCATGGTGACAGCTGGAGATAAACCTCTAGCTGATGTCTAATACATCTGTTAATAGCTCAAGCAACCGAGGAGGGCACCATCAAATTGAGCACAAGAATATCAAACAGTAAAATTGTGAATAATAATAATAATAATAATAATAATAATAATAGTAAAAATAATAATAATAAACCAGTGTTGAATGTAATGAAATGCCATTTTCTGGGCGAATCGTGGAGGCTCCCCGCAGCTTACTGGGCTGATATGCATGTATTAGACCTTCAAATGGAGTTCTAATGCCTCTGGAGACCACGAGCCAGAACCTGGCCCCCCTCAGGGAGGCACGAGGAGCAATGGCCTATAGGAACCCCCATGTGATTGGGAGCATTCTATGTCTGCCATCGACCGGGTCTAACACCCAGAAAGGTAGGCGTCCCAAAACAAACCCATATTCTGATGAAACTATTGCTACTGAAAGCAGAATGAGTGGACAGATTTCTCCAAACAAAAATTAGCAAAAGAGCACAACATCATCACATTGCCACGCCACTGTCTGCGGAATCCCCCCCTCTCTCCAGAAGGGGTAAGGGAAAGCCCCCAGACCCTTGCACCGGTGATCCAACCACCAGTTTTTAGGCTGAATGTCAAAACACGCAAAAAAACACAGCCGATCGGAGGGAGGGAGGGATGCCGGGAAGCTTCCGGGACTCGCCCAGAAAATGTTGTTTCATTACATTCAGCGCTGGTTTTCTGGGGGGAGTTCCGTCAGCTCCCAGGAGCTAACTACCCAAAGACAGTATCCACTCGATTTAATGGCCTCTTATTTACCGATCTGCTGGTTTCATCGACCGGTTTAAGAGACTGTTATCTGGAGCCTCATATACTGTCTGGCGGTCAATAGAACCGTAGGTTGGTATTGGGATTGTTTTGGCATCAGGAGGCCCTCACATGGCAAGCAGGCCACCGACCTCTATCGCCCCCCCTCTCTCACCCTCACTGCACCTATCCCCCACACCCTCACTTCTTGCCTCTCCCTCCCCCCAAGAGACCCTTCTAAGAGGTGGTTTAGTATATTGCCAGCCAGAGAGCTTGGAGAATCCCTATCTAATACAATAAAGCATTCACGAAACAAGTATTTTTATAACTTTTTACTATTCTAATAAAATTACTAAACAAAATCTGTAACCAAAAATATATACGATGATGATATACATCCAGAATTTAAGAAATAAATCTGGCTAACTGGGTCGAGTGTGATAGACTTATCGGAGTGAGCCCGTCTCCTCCTCC